ATTTTAGTTAGAACTTCAGAAAACATACTGCAACTGGGTTCCACTTTATAAACTTGAAGCAGTTAGACTGATGTCCCATGGCGCGGAAATCCACAGCGGAACGAAACGCGCAAACCAATCACAGCAAAAGAACGAACAGAATGAACGAGTTTTCTTTTGATTCTTTCGCTGTGATTGGTTTGCGCGTTCCGTTCCGCTGTGAATTTCTGCGCCATGGAACACCAGCCTTAGAAAACGCACGAAACTAAAACGGAACGGTAACCGCAGTACACTTCCATTATGTCATAGCATGAGCGGAGTGAATAAAGGAACGCACCTTTTATTATTTATTTCCCTTATTATCCGTTTTTCACCAATCAGTATCTGTGTCAAGCGCTGGTGTCTGCATGAGGATCCAGGTTTAAGTTTCTACTAAGAGAAATAGGAATCCCCTTATATTTAACGAAATGGTATTTGTATTTAGGAGAACGTGGTGCTGAAGATGCACCACGTTTTATTATAGTTTGTTAGCATTTTTACAATCTTGAAACTCTTTAAAATTGTATCTGAGGTTTATTGTCGCGGTAAGGTGTATAACCGTAAGTATTTAATACATTATTTCGTGTCATTTATAAAGAAGGGAGGGTATGCGTCACGGCGGGGCCCGACCACGAATCAGTCGTGAAAACTCGTAATTATTTTGCGAAAAAATACCACCTCAGCCAGGAATCGAACTTGGATCTCCTGCTTACCGGGTAGGCATCTTATCCCTTCGATTACCGAGGTATGTGATGATATTTGTTGCAAATAACGTATTTAGAATAACACGTCACAATGCAATGACACATATGTATATTATAATATACATGTACTCTCTCGATCCCCACGACCGGTATTCCAGAGAGATGATGGTCCTAGTCTCGATGGATGCAGGTCGGACTGCAGCGGCGACACCCTCCAAGTTACTTTAGATGTAGATAAAGCATATAAAAGAAAAAGCATTAGTTCAATAATTTAATCATTTAATTCTCATATTTTGATGCAAAGTTTATAACTATTTGTGATGAGTTTTTTATGAATATTTATAGTTGCTTTATTTATGAATATTTATAATATATATATTTATATGTGTTTGTACAATTAAGAAGCAATTCTTATTCTTTTTCTGTATCTATAAAATAATTTTTAGGTTCGGCTGCTTACATCTAATATTTTTACAAATCTATTTTCATGATGAAGCCGATAAAAGCAAACGCAGATCCTATGTAAGAAAATTTATAATTTACAGATATAGTAAAGATATTACATATTACTATTTATTGATTAAATTTAA